TTTAGTTCTTACGAAATGCATATTTAGTTCATGAACAGTGCATACCTATTTTATTTGAGATCCAATCATAACAATTTATTTGTGTTATTAATAAATTTAAAATTAAAATTCATTATATAATAAAAATTATTAATTATTATATTTAATTTAATTGTATAAAATATATATTTTATTGCTTATTTTCATTGCATATTTAGTTCATTCCTGATGCATATTTAATTAGTAAAATGTGCATATTTAGTACATAAACAGTGCATACATAGTTGATATTACTGGTGCATATTTAGTTCATAAGGATAACATATATAATTCATTTATGATGCATAATTAGTTCATACTAAGTGCATAGTACTGATGCATATTTACTTCATACACAATGCATGCTAAGGGTCAAAGGTCAATGTTAAAAGTCAACGCCGGAAAGCAACGGTCAACGCCGGAAGTCAACAATTTTCGCCGGAAGTCAACGGTCAACGTCGAAGTCAATGGTCAATTGTCAAAATAATATTTAAATAATTAAAATAATAAAATAAAGAAATAAGTAATAAAAATAAAGAATTATTATTTAATTAAAGAGTTAATCTTAGTCACACATAATGTACCAATCTAATGGCTAGGAATGGGTCTCACATTCACACTTTAAATATGTGGACTCATTGGATTCAATCCCTATATATATTATATATTTTAGTATGACACTTGTTACTTGTGCGACTTACATGTGTTATATTATAATAATTTTTCTAACTTATAACATATAACTACATTAAACATTAATATATTAACTGAGAAATAATTTTATTTTCTAATTAATTTTAATAAACATTTTTTTATTGTAAAGATAAATATAATTTATTTATTTTATATATACAATATGGATGTCAAATCGAAATTCATCAAAAGATGATTAATTTGATACATTATATATGTAAAATCGATAAAAATACAAAAGTTATCAATTTTTAAAATATATTTACAACTCAATAGTTATAATAGGAGATGATATTAAAATACAATTAATACATCCAAAATGATCATAAATAAATCAACATATTTTATGGTAATTCGAACCTAATTAGTTTTGGATTGAAATTAAATTAAAATCTATCCAAACCAAATAACAAAGCATGGAATTTTGACACTTAGAATTTCGAAGCATGCGAGTCTGCCACTTAGGCTCAGCACATTTGAGAATTATATATAGGGGGATTCTACGATCCCGTTACAGAATCATTCCGTCGGAATTTGTAATCATTAGATTATTATGTAACCGACATAGATAGTTGATATAACGGTTACAAATCCCGACGGAATGGTTTCGTAACGAGACCATAGCATATTCCCGTTTTTAAAGGTACTAAATTTTGTAATGGAAAAAAAATGAAACTAATTTATTATCTTTCTTTTAATTCTTTTAATTAGAACTAGAGATGTAGGTGCGGGGATTATTGCAAGTATGGCATTCATAATTTTGTCATTTATTCTCATTTATTGTTTAGAAAGTAGTTAAACATCATTATTAAAATTTATGTAACTTTGAACCTTTATTATTAAATTATTAATTTTTTTTTTTACTCTAGAATGAACAGGATTTAGAGAGATCATAGTCATTATTAGACCCATGAGAGGAACAAAAAATCAACTATGGGGAGAGGACAAATTATGGCAAAATTGTCACTCTCAATTATATGTGTTGTTAGGCGGGGATTAATCTAATAGAATTATTTAGAAAAATAATCTTGATTAAAAATGATGCACCTTTTTTTTTTTGCTCTTTTTTTAATTGTTTCTTTCTATTTTATATTTGCTCTTTTACATGTCTATTATTCCTTTAAAAAAATATAATATTAAAAGTGAAACTAAACATAAACTATTTATAACCGTGTTATAAACAAATAAAATAAAAAATGAAATTTTGGACAAATAGTAAATCATAAACCAACCATTTATAAACCTTATAGTAAGAATACTTGTAATTAAAACAAAAAACTTCATAAATATAAATGAATATGCAGATGAACTTATGAATGCTTTAATTTTCTCTTTTCTTATTTTATACTTATATGAACATCTTACCACTACAATAAATTGTCAAATCGTCAAACGATGTTAAAAACTCAACTCAAATCGTGCAATTTAGAGGGGGAGATTGTGATTCATTTTTTGTAATGTGGAATTTTTGTTTGGATTTTTTCTTATGCTACGGTGCGATTTGGTTATTATTTTTCACGAGATAGGTTTTCGGTTCGGTGTGGTCTTACACGTGTTGAAATTAAATATAAATGCATTGAAAATTTGAGGTAAAACTGGCTAAATTGAATTGTGCATTTTGTTGCTGTTTGATTACATTGTTTTGCTGTGAAATTTTTTGTTTTGAATTTTGATTCCATTTTTTCCTATGTTGCAGTGCGATTCATTACTTTTTTAGGTTCGATTTTTCTATTTTTGCACTTCACTAACAACCTAAAATTAGGTCAAATATGGCAATATCTATGTCAATATATATGAATATATATAATGGGAGTTTGTTTTTTTTTTTTTTACATATTATATAAAATATAGGATAACTTTATTGGCAATTTTTTTTTTA